TTGGGGGAAATAATCTGCACCCATTACCTCTGAGATTCCCCTCAAGTATACCAAAGTACAAATATAGTCAACAGTGGAAAGGTAGGAAAGCTCCACATGGAATGTTTTATTCAACATTCATATTTACATGGGGAAGAGAAACAATTTTTTAAACATAAAGGAAATTTTGAGTTGCTAAATAGGAGTGTCATTTCCCTATCCTATCTCATATTATTTCCTCTTCTATCTTCTATATCATATGTACATTTACACATAATGTGGCAACAAGATTGCTTAATCCAATACTTAGTGCATTCAAGTGGGTGTTTCCTCCTATTCAAAGTAGCTAAATTTGTTTTAGTCACTTATATTTTTCAACTGTCATAAATGCAGAATATAAACAAATTTAAGCACTTGTAGATGCTTACCTTGCTACTCATCAAGTAATAGCTTGCAGCAACTTTCCAAGATGTTATGATTCAGCACATTTCCCTCTGAAATAGGTCTCCTAACCTGAAATTAGACGTCACTCAACCTTTAAACTTGGAACACTTTGTAAACTTTTAAAAAGAAACTCTTCTTTATTGGCTCTGTGAAACCCAGTCAAGGAATAATATGAAATGAGTCTAATGGAAGGTCTTTCCCTCAATGAAGAAGGGGTCAAAATGGAAACTCCTATAAAAGGACTGAATCACCCACAATGCTTCAAAGATTCTTTGAGTGATTGTAAGAAACCCTGTCTGGATGACATTTGGAGAATGTTATTCCTAACAATATCCTCCTTTGAGACTGTGAAGGGGTAAAACCTGAAAGATGAGAAAAATTGCTGAGAAAATACAACTTTTGCTCTCCTTCGTTGTAGGTGCTGACGGCCACCCACCATCATCTGTGGACGGTGAATCTGGCTAATGATATGCAGGTTTTTCAAGGCAGAATAATTGCAGAAAATCTTCAAAGGTACTCCTATCAAATTTTGTATCTCTTGATTAATTAAACCATGGGCCACCTGAGCACTCTTGCCACTGGAAGAGGGGAACGTTTTATAGGTGGGGAATTGTAAGAACTAGCAGAAACTGCAGAGTCAAGGGTCCTACACCTTCCTGTTGCATTCTCGTTCTTCTTGGCTGCGAGAACTAAAAGGGGCCTTGCATGTGGCAGAACCATGTCGTGAAATCAGTCCTCAGGAATGTCAGAAAAACCACCTGAAAAATGGGAATCTAAAGAATCCTATGACTTTATTAACATATTATGAGCTGTTGAGGAAGGAAGCTCAGGGCAATGAGGGGGCAGTGTGGCAGGCCAGCCACACTCAGTCGTCCACCGTGTCCTCCACAGTGTCAGGAGTGAAAGCTGTCAGATGTTACCTGTCTTATTCACAGCTTGTGTTCACAGTTTCTTTCTTGCCTTAGCCAGATAAACATTAGTGCCAAGAGTGTTTGTACCTACCTCACAGACTCAACCTTGGTGGTTCAAAAACCATTCTTAGGGGCTGGGTTCATATGCGATTACATCTCCAGGAGTCTTTTCTCAAATTTCAACTTTGAAAGTTGGCTCCCCTCCATGCCTAACCAAAACTAATGCAATGGAAACTGTTGAGTTCCTCTTGGTTTCAAATTGCTGCTCTTCAAGCCCATTGTTCTTTGCATGATTTTTATCCTTAGCTTTCTGTTGGCCCAAGTTGGCTTGGAATAAGTCCTCTAACTACCAAAAAGTTCATGAATCTCATGCAGAAAAACAAAATCTTCAAGTCTGCCTTTAATTTCAGGTTTGTCTTTTGAGGGTTGTTTTATCCAGCTTTTCTTTCAAATACTAATGGAATTACACATTTTATTAATATCTTAATTCTACAAACGATAAATGAAGAAGGGGAATGAGTGATTGGAAAGTATGATAGACAGGAGTTCCTTGACTTAAAATCATGAGCATCAGCAATTTTTCTGTCATTCGCAGGGCTTTGTCTGCAGATGGTCTTGGGTATTACCACTAATGGCTGATTATTGCACTGTATCAGATGCTTGTTATAAACAAGTTGAATCAACAGTAAGAGAAGTTGAAAGTTAAGTCTCCTTACTTCAAAACTCCAAACAAGAGAAGAAAATATTCCAAAACAGAAACGAAAGAGATGTATGTTTAGGAATCAGTTCAGTGAACAGAACTTGGACTTCATAAGAGTTCTTTATCTTCTTGAGTCAGTTTGCCAAACATGTTCTTGGAAAACCTCTAGCCTGATGCATCCATTTTTCTGTGGGAAAGAAAGAGGTTGGCCTTTGGAATCATACTATTCAAAATTAACTGTAGAAGAGGCTGGAACACCCTTAATACTGGAGGTCACCCTATATCTTCCAAAAGGGTCACTGAAAAACTGATTTCTCAAAGCATGTCTTCATTTCTTTTGTGCTATGAAAAGGCCACTTTTGGGGATGCCATGTTGTTTATTTTCTAGCCTTCCATTTCACACTTTTCTCCCTTTAATGAGTATTTTCCCTACTTTAAGCATTATAGC